GGTTGCTTAGAGTAGACAGAAAAGTTATGCGGACAAATCCCCACTATCATTACACTTTATTCAAAGAATGGATCATTAATGTCATGGTTGGATGCTTTGTATAAATACTTGCTTGTTTGTAGACGGGTTAAGTCTCAGCACAGATAATTCTTGTAAATTTCTAGAAAGGCATCGGAATCATATGCTTAATTCTCATAGTCCATCTTTATCATCCGATTAACTTGCTATTGACACGAGAGTTAATTGAGTTATAAAGCACAAACATAACAAAATGGATACTCTATTACATGTCCTGATCCTCGAGCTAATGGGTGGCTGTTGCATTTTAAGAATCTTATATTTTGTCTACAAAACTCTTGAAAAGAATCTTCTATTCTATTCAAGAAATCCCCACCACTCCAAACACTCGAAATTTCCAAGTTACTCACTCTCTATTATTGCTTACTTCAAAGATACCAATCATAGTTCCCTGTGGATTCGACTCCAAACTTCACCGGATTATTACTACAACTTGACCACCTACACTTGGGTGTACACATTTCGAATCAAGTCATCTAGTACCTAGGAGAGTATCACCCTAGACGTCCACCTCGGGATCCATGAGCCCGTCTAGTGGAGCTTCCCAATGTATCGGCTCCTCAACTCTAAGCTCCTCATCTAGACCACAATCTGAACAATATATAGTTTGTAGGGGATGAGCACTAAGCTTTGTTGCAATATTCCTCTCAAACTCAAACAAGGTTTAGAAAACGTATAAAGCAAGTTGGCCTCATTTTGCAAATATCAGATATCACTTTTTGAAATAAAATCGGGACATTTCAACGGATCTCAAGTTTACGCAATAGCAATAATTTAAATGAACAGTAAAATGAATTTCCCTACAATAAACCATTTCCAACCATAAATCGTTTCTCATAAGTCCTTGTAGAGTCCCATACCTCCACAAGCTCTTGTAGAAAACCTTTTCTAGTACAATAAATCATAAACCCACAACTTGTATTCGTATCTTAGGTATGATACATGATTCGCATGAATAAACACATCGAGAATATTCTGGCCCACACATACACACCCAAATCCTCGCAAGGATATCCAACCTTTAGGAAGGGCGTATACCAACTCATGGCAGTAATGAATCCAACCCAAGAATAGTATACTACCTCTTCTCCTCGGTACCCGTGAGCAAATAGTGGTTTAGTCCTCGCAAGGCACTAACCCCACTATGAGTGATAGGGACCTTCAAACCCACTCTACAATATCCGGTCAACGGCCACCCATGGTCATCAAAACATCCACAAGAGACAATATCCAATCAATTTTTCCAATCACAATTAAATTCAAAAATTCTCAAATTTCACAAGTAGTATCCCAATAGAACAATTTAGGAAAATATGCTAGAGATCATAATAAATACAATTTTGTGGTTCAATATAAAGCACTAAAGTTTTGAAATCAAGAACAAAGGAAAATTCAAGAGAAAAATCTATTTCTCTTGAAAACTAGGGTTTTGAGTCAAGAAGAACTAGGTGTTCTTTAAAAACTAGAGTTTTGATCTTCTGGAAGTGGAAATCTCCTTTGATCTTGTGTTTTTCTCTTCCTTTCTTCCTCTCTAAGGTTTTCTAGGGTTAGAAGTGTTGAAATGGGGCTAAATGGGATGTCCTTAGGTATTTATAGTAGAAGGAGAACCGGCTGTGTTGTGACTTAAAATTTCAGATTTTTAGAAAACCTTTAGGAAGGTTTTTCATCGATCTTCCAAAAGGTTTGCCTATTAGACAAACATTTCCTTTACCTTCTAGAAGGTTTTTCTCACTGGATAAATATTCACATTAACCTTCTGAAAGAACATTTACATTAACCTTCCGGAAGGTTTGTCTGCTGGACAACATTTTCATTATCCTTCCGGAAGATTTTTCATCAACCTTCCGAAAGGCTTTGCCTACTGGATAAGCATTTACCTTAACCTTCCAGAAGGTTTTTCATCGACCTTCCGGTGGGTTTTGCTTGTTTTTCTACAAATCCTCCCTTCTTCATTTTCAATCCATTCCAAACCATTCCAATTCCAACCCAAACTTATACAACATACTTTTGTACATCAAACCTAGTTGGTACAAGTTCTTTTACGACGATTTCATATATTTGCAAGCTAAAACTAAGTTAACTACTATTTACTCGAATTTTTTCATATTAACATTTCAAAAGAAATAATAACTTGCTATATAAACCTATATACATATATAAAGATAAAAGTGTGGGGTTTACAGTATCAAGCCTTGTTGTGATTTAGAAGAGGGAAGTCATTGGTTAAGAGCCAATGCACTATCCATAAAGTTGTTGAATTTGTACATAATCATATTTGCAAAAAGTAAATAAATATGACCTCAAAAAAATAAACAACAAACCTTCGCGAGCAATTATGCTCTCAAACTCAAGAAATGCGAGTATGCTTGTTGAAGAATGTCATCGGCAGCCCTAAATTGAGCTTGCAATTCCTTTAGCCTCTTACTTTCATCTTCATATTTCTCCCCCCCCCCTAGTACAGCAGCTGCTTCAGCTTTTGAAACCTTGTCTTTAAGGCAATCCAACTCTTTCCTTAGAATCTACAAATGTTGAAATCAAATCAGTAAAATTGGGAGAAAAAATTAAGAGAAAAGCAATCCCAACTTCTAAAATATATAACATCCTTTTTATTATGTTCAAATAACCTCAATGGTACCAAGATAGCCAGGTCAAATATTCTAGCAAAAGTAAGTTAAAAATCCTGGATTTTCGCACAGTTATAACTCTTATCAAAGCAATGATGCCACGATGAACAACCTATCAAATCTTAAAATTATACCAATTAGGAGCCAATTATGATACCTTCAAACACTCTTCGACTTGGTCTTTCTATTGCAAAGCCTGCTAAACTTCATCTCGGCTCCCTATATTAGAAGACAATTGCCCGCGAAGATGCCTCAGTTGCTTAATTTCATGAATGAATTGCTTTTCTTCCTTTAAAGGCAGGGTTTCATGTTCTATCATGTGTTCCAAATTGTTTATCTGATTCCAGGACAAAAATTCAAAATGTATGCGTGATAGGTTAAGTGAGAAAACATTTCAGGTTATCCCTAGTTCAGTTTCCATGGAAACATTTTTATCAAAAAAAAGATCCTAGGGAAACAAAATGAGAGAAAAGCCAATGCTTACCAGGGCATCAATACCTTCAATAGAAATGGCATTCTTCACTTTGTTGATCATAGATTGTACTGAATCTATTTCTTGGCGCTTTGCCTTCACCAATTTTTGTGAAGCTTTCACTTCTGCATTGGTAGCTTCATACTCATCACCATGGACTTGAAATATAGGCTCTACATTGGTAGTTCTTTCACTCCCTTCACTATAATAGGGAAAATAGAGTTCAACCAAACTATGAAAGAGGGAATGAAAAGTACAATAAAAGTATAGATAAATCCACATAGCGAACTCATTGAAGCATACCACAAACACTTGGGGTTCGGTGTGTATGGGTGTGTGTGAACCAATACATCAAGGTTGGGACAGAGGGTAAGAGAGATGGGTAGGATGGTGTATAGAGTTGGTGGTGACAGTGATGGTCTGGTTTCGAGGCTGAGAATAGTGAGAGAGGCGTGAGAGAGAGATGGGTACACAGATAAGAATTACATCACCCAGATCTAACCTTATTCACTAATTTCTAACCAAAACATGAATTTCCAAACACAAAGGCAATTACAAATTCGCAACCCAGAGACTAAAAACAGAGGTTATTCGTGCATATACAAAGCGTACCTGAAACATAGGATCTTCTTTGTCTACCTTTTTCCTCTCTTTCTCTCTCTATGCCTTTCGTCTGTCTCTTTCTCTACTGTAGCCATCCTAATGCGACTATTATGAGTGAGATTTAAGATTAGGAGAAGATTTGAGATGGATTCCATGTGATAGAGGCGTGATAGATTGGGAGAGGGAGGCAGAAGTGAGAGAGTGAGGCGTGAGGGACAAGGAGGCAGAACTTTGGGTGGGTTGGATAGTCAACCCTAGCCCAATCCTAGGTATATAATCTTCAACCCTAACCCTAACCCTAACTCAGGTTGACGGACTCAACCTGAGCACTACGCAAGTATAATTCGGGCGGGCTCGGGTTGAATTCGGGTTAATAATTTTGGTACTTTACTGGTTTAAATCGGGTTGAATTCAGGTTGAGCCTAAAATAGACTTGTTGTTCTAAACCTGATACATATATTACATAATATTCACCTAAATTAACAACCAACAACTTCAATTAAGGTTTTAACATAAAAACCAAGAGAAGATAAGGCATAGCTATTGTTGCAATGTCCTTACCTTATCTATATTCTATCTGCAAGAGAATCCTCCCTCCCCCTTGCAATTCTCCTCCCTCTGACCTTTTTTAGCCAATCATAATGTGATGCAAGTGAGAACAATTACTTTTTGTCAGCACGAATAAGCCAAAAAGAAAGGCCAACATTTTCCTTTGCTTGCGTAAGAGTAACCGAACCACACTAATTCAATCTAAGTACACGAGAATTTCATTTCTATCAATAAGGTAGTCAAGGGGCGGAGGAAACTATTGCATGAAGAAAGATCACTCTCTGCTAAAATCTTAGTACGGGTGGCGCATCACATTTCGGGCGAATGCTCCTATGCTTATACGAATCGCCTATCAAAGTTTTGTTGAAAAACCTCGTTCGAGAACTACTATAAAGAAGGAATTCTTGTTGCGTAGCTTTTCTTCCAATTTAGTGACCTTACTAAGGATTCCATAGGTTGGCCCAACTCGATGAGCGGGTTTGGCTTCTCGCAGTTCTCCCTTTAACACCTATGCAATAACCTCTTAGATTGAGGTAGAAAACCACTCGGCAACTATTCACAATACTCAAATCTATTCCCATTCAGCAAACTTACCTACCCCAGCTCTATGCCATAAGCCATCTCTCAAGCGTTCTCGCAACATTGTGTGATAGGGCCAAGATTCATAAAATGAACTACACCATTAACTCTTCGACTGGTATATGAGCTACTACCTGCAATGCTTCTTCGCAACTCAAGGCTAATGCTAAATAGGCAACAAAGAGTACCGCAATAGTAACCTTTCTGTTATGTCTTTTCTTTATATCTAGGGGATCGAAGGTTGTTCTTTCAAAGTATTCTCTTGATTCTGAGTTGACCAGGTCAGTCATGGGAATGCCCCCTATGGTACCATTCTCATCGAGAACACCTTGTTTTAATACGATAGATATTTCCATTATCCCTTTCCATATCTTGATCCATTTATGATCTAGGCAGCATTCAGGCACCCAATCAATTACAAACTCAGGCATTCCAGCCCACCAAATAGTGAGGCCAATAGCTAATGGAAAACATACTATCAAGGTCGATTGCCTAAATCTGGCAACAACTTTTTCAAGAAAGACATCCACCGCGTCAAAGAAGACGTCCTCTTGTTTCGGTGGATAAGGTTGTATTCGAGTGTCATCCTTACTGATGTCCAGTAATCCCACTTCTGTCTCTCTTTTGATTGATTGGATGGTAGAAACCCGGGCTTTTCCTTTCCCACTTTTATGTACATGAATTGGTGTTTTCACCAATGGTTTGCAGGAGTTTGCTCCTTCCAATCAATGTTTTCCACCTTTGGAAAGGATGTTGGACTCCTTGATGGAATGTATTCTAATCATAGGAACCAACTTCCTTGCTTCTTTTCATTTCCATTGGAATGTTCTATTTTTCAGAACCATTCTGAATTAGTATTGGAATGCTTTTTCCATGACTTGAAGAAGGAATCGTAGTTATTTGGGATTGAGGCTGAGCACTACCTTTACCTTCTTGGGGTTTAGGTTGATATTCATGTTTATCGACAATGACAACTTTTGCTACTGTTGCTACTTTTTCTAGTATTGAAACAAATGGAAACATGTTAACTATTCAATTCTTCCTTATTTTCTTATTCCCGCTGCTCTTTAACCTTTTTATGTAGCAGCAAGAATTTTTGTGTGAACCTTGCTTTTTGGCAAAATTTTTATGAAATGTGCCTGGGTTTGACCCAGGAAAGACATGGGAGTTGTTAAGCATGAATTGACACACAAGAAGTAGATGAGAAAACATCTTAAGGCTAGATCAATAGGAGGGGCCTCGGTAGAGAGAAAAGTAAAGTAAGGAAAATGAGCGCTCTGCCTTCCAAGCGGGCGACAGGAGCAACGAGCAAGTGCTTGGTAGGCCAACAGCCCAGTGAACCGGGTGGGTCACTTGACGAAAGGGGGGCACACTGAGCAAGTACGAGAAATTGGCCCCACTCCACTTTCTTAAAAGCAAGGACCACTACGAGAGGTCAAATCAAGGACCTATGGAAGTCGAGGCTCCCCCGGTCAATATTGGATTAAACAATAGGGGCGTAGCATTGACCACTTTTTTTATTGATTCAACAAAATAGGGCAAATGATCGTAAAGTTCCCTACCGAGACAAACTCTCAACAGATCCTCCGCGCGCTGGGCATACCTCTTATGTGCGTCTTTATCATGGCGAGAATAGAATAGGAGAAAGCAAAATCAATTTCAAGCTATGGGTGAAGTTGTTGAATAAGATCCCGCTAAATTGGCTAAGCGAAACATACTTCGAATATCGCTCGGAGCAAGGCCAGTCACTAGATTAAGACTAACAAACTGACCATTCCTTATCAAAGGCCCAGCAAGAGACGTCACTACGTACCTCGGCCTCGGGATGAACTTCGGTGTTGAGGCCCGAATACTGGAAATTCAACCCAACCTAAGCTAATAACAAAGTAGATTTTCAACCTACTAAGTCAACTCAAGGAATAAGAACAAAGAAATATGTAATAAAAAAATAAGACAAAGGAGAACAGAATGCTAGACGAGTAGAAAACGCAGAGAAAGCCTAAGCCAAAATGTTGAATAGTAGGAGACGGGTATACTGCCCGGAAACTTTGAGTTGTCTCTCCGTATGTAAGTTGTTCAGTATTTCCTTCTTATGCAACATGGCTAGAGCAGTTGTGGCCGAACCCTTGTCAAATTCAAAGGTAACAACTTCTCTATATTAACAAAATTTGTATGCCTGATGATTGTAAGCCGGTAAGCAAGATCTATGAAGTTCTATCTGCAATCCGGTTCTATGTAGGTGGGTCGACCCCAGTAAAGGCTTCCAGCCAAAGGAAGGAATTGGACAACAAGGGAGAAGTTAGACCCCTTTGAGAAGGGCCCAATCTTTCTTTTTTTTTCTTCGTTGTTCACAGCTTGACTCTCATTTCTAGAGCGAAAAGTCACACTAGCTAAGGCTGTTGGTGGTGGTCTGGAGAAAAAAAAGCCTACACCACTAGAATATGATAAGACAAAGTAAAGCTAGCCGACTAAGACAACATGCTACAACTAACAGCAAAGAAAAGGCTCAAACAAAAGTCAAGAAGTTGATCACAGATAGGCAGCCCCTTAAAGGGTGGGGCTTTAGGAAGCAAGTCTACAGACTCGAGAAGGCGGACAAGCACATCCAGAGAATAACTGAAACTAAAAAAGATAGGATAACGCTGGCAGTAGAAAAGCTGGCCATAGTGGCTATTACGAGTAAGGTAGTGCCTAGCCATTGAGATGCCGGCGCCAACTGATCGATGAAAATAACACTAGCTTGTTAATAGATAAGAGGACTAGGCATACTTCGAATGCAATAAAAGAGTTTGATTGAGATAATGAGTCCATTGTTGGGAGACTCGATTAGAAGACTCATCCCTCTCTTCCCTAGGCCTCAAGTTTGAAAAAAGTTATGGCTAGCAATTAGACTATTCAATGTTGATTACAGGTTCTCAACAACTCCAACTATTATAGCCTTAGCCTTATAAAGGTGCATGAATGACAGCCTGTCATCATCGTCAATGTGACCAAAGTCAAACCCCGTCGTTGACCAGGGATTGTGTGCCCTAGTAGGGGAAAACAAAGGTACGATAATAAGCACAGGTAAGGGAGGGAGATAGACATTCTCGTAGGTATAGAGTCAGCCCAGGTCTCATTTTCCCTAATACAAACTACCCCTCACAGAAGCCATCTTATCTACAAGGCGATTATGAAACAAGATGCCTTACTATTGTCCACAGTAGATCGTAGGGAGGGGACTGGACTGGGAAAGGAAAAATGGTCCCCTTATTCACCATAGCACCTAAGGGGCAAGTTTTAGGGTAAATAAGGCCAAAAATAGAAAGAAACTCCATTTTTAGTACGCTTGGATGCAAGTAAGCCGTAAGCCAAAAAGAAAGGAAAGTAAAGTACGAGAGCAATCACTCCCGACGCTAGACCGAGAGATAGGCAGACCATTCAATGACTAGCCATGTAGTCCATAATCTGTGGGGATAGGTTGCATAATAAGGTCTTCCAACAACATTCTGTTGCCATGTCTAGATGAAAGGGAGGCCAAAGAGATGATAATCCAGGTGCATGAAGGAGTCTGTGGTCCACACATGAATGGGCACAGGCTTGCCAAAAAAAGACTTCACCTAGGATATTACTCTTGTATGAGGGAGAGGGATTGCATCCATTTTCTTCAGAGATGCCACAAGTGCCAAGTGCATGCGAATTTGATCTACGCGTTGCCGACGCAGGTTCATAACCAAACCACATCATGGCCCTTTGCAGTATATTGCCTAGATATTATAGGAAGGTTAACCCGAAGGCAGCCAATTGGACATAAATACATCTTAGTAGCTATCGATTCTTTCACAAAGTGGGATAAAAACCTCCTACACCACGATCACAGCGGCACACATCATAATATTTCTAAAGAAGCGGCTTCATATTCATAAGCTTATGAACATTTTTCTTTTTTCACTTGTATCGTGACCGAAGCAAAGCCTCCAGTTGTGGGGTATATTTTGAGACTCTTATGATGACATGAAGTTCTCAAGTTAGTATTCAGTAAGCCAACATTGACTCTGAAGCTAGTGATTTCGATGGGTTTCTTGATCTTTTTATTTTTTTAGTATCAAGCTGTTGATACTAGATATATAAAACTAGATATATAAAAAAGGTAACTCCAAAAATTTCTTTGTCCCTAACGCCCATGAATTTTAAGGAATTAAGAACTTCAACAGTCTTCTATGGGGTATCCAAAGTACGAATGAGATGGATTTTGTTGTACCAACCATTCTTGTTAATCCCGATCTTGATAAGGAAAGGGGGTAATTTCTAACAAAGTTTTCATTTTTTTTAATTCATAGGCGTAGTGCTTTTTCCCCTATGCCGTCTATTGGACTAGTGGAGTAGAGTTGGCCTACAATAAATAATCCATAGGTGTAACCTTTCGCTCAATACTAAAATCGACAAATTGAAGCATTTAAGGCTGCATTAGATGAGATCCATGGGAGCAATTCTTAGATAGCAAGCACTAACTCCTGATGCGACTTCATAAAAAGCAATCAAAGATAAGATCGAAGAGAATGAAACACACGTAGTGGTCATTATAGCGGTTCCTTCTGATCCTAGAAAACGTCCGAAAAAACTTGCTACAGAACTACCGAGCAGGGGTAAAAATACGATAAGTAGATACATAATGTTGAGTGTGATCAGACAACCAAAAATTAGACAATGACAAAGCGGCCTGTGATTGAGTGATAGATTGATCGACGCCCGAAGAAGGCTCGACCGAAGGAATGAGTCAGAAGGAGAATTGTAAGCCCCAACGACAAACAAACCTATGCGCGGAGCATTTTCGGGGACTAGCCTCCTTCCTTCTTACTTGACTTCCAATTCTACTCTTTTTTTCTTACATTTGCATAACTTCCTCTTTATCGCCATTCTTCTATTTAAAAACTACACCCCACCCACCCCTCTATTTGAGTAAGGTTGGAAAAAAAGAGGTCCTTGTTTTATGAAACTTCAACCTACGCTCGGAATACGGATGAGATCAGAAAGGCCATTATTGGGGCAAACGATGCAATAGCTTCGGTTAGAGCAAAGCCCAAAATGGCATAACCAAATGATTGTTTAGCCAATGATGGATTTCGCACCATGGAATGAATCGAGGAACTAAAGACGTTTCCAATACTGATAGCAGCTCTCGCTGAAGCAATTGTAGTAGCTCCGACACCCATTGATTTTGCACCTTTTAACATCTCGAGTTGAGAATTCTCGTCACGCTTTTTCATTCATGATTTTATGTTATAGATTCCTCGTCGATTCTTCCCCTCGTTCCTTTTCTCTTTGGCATCTTTCTTGGAATGCGCGCTTGAGATAATGCAAACACAACCAGAATTATTGTACAAACATAGAGTTCACTACTTAAATAGTGAGTGAGGGAGGCGCACAATGAAGACTTCAGAACAGATTAACCATAGACTTAAAAATGTATTTATATGGTTATGAATATTCGAGTTCAATTCGGTAACCCGAGGGGTTAATCTGAAGCTCGTCCAAATTGAATTTGGGTTGGGGTTTTTTGACCTAAGCCCAACCTAAGTATTAAAAACTTTAGCCCAAGTCCTAATTTTTTCGGGTTGGGCTCGGATTGAAATCGATTTTCCCGCTCAAGTTGCACCCCTAGACAGAAGTGAGAGAAAGAGGCGCGAGAGAGAGAGAGGCGTGACAGAGAGAAAGGCCTGAGTTGGGTGGGAAAAAAAATTCAGTACATACCGTAGACCATTGGATCAAAAATTTTAAAATGATTTGAACTATCTCTTATATTGGGATTACGTTATTCGTTGAATATGCTTATATTTTGTCTCAAAAAAAATCTGAATCTTTCTTTGTCTCCAAAATTCAAACTCAACTCTACTTTATATATATATATATATTTGATGGTAAGAATTGAAATCACAAAAATCTTTAGAATTCAAAAAATTTTAAGAAATGTTTAGTTTTGGAAATTGTGATTAATAACTTTTTTGTATTATTGATTCTTAAAATTAAAGGTCTCTTCATCTTTCTCATCTAAAATGACTTTTATGATTTTTTTTTAACAAATGTATTTTTATCTTAAATATTTTAAAAAATATACTTTTATCTTATTAAGTTCTTAGAGAGTTACCGATCTCCCTAAATCTCCAAATATAAACTTCGCCATAGACACAAATCCGCTGTACGCAATTACAAATACATTATTTACATATTAAATAATTTAAACACTACACAACTTTTTAACAGACTTTCCTCCGTATTTCCATGTGAAGTCGAAACGGAAAGATCAAGCAAATATCAGGTGTTTAGATTTAAATAATTTATTTTCTAATGGCCCAAGCTCTCGTGTCTTTCCTGTACATTTTTAAACCCTGATTCTCCAACTTTCGGCAACTTTCCCGAGAAAATACAATTCCGATGGCCGCCAGACTTACCTCCCGACTCGCCTCTCATCTCCTCCGCGCCACCTCCCTCCTGAACCACCCCCATCCCCCTCTCTTCACCATGTCCAAATCTCAACCCTCGATCTTTTACCTCAAACCGCTGCCATGGATCGCTTCCAACCTTCATCGATTCTTCTCGACCAGCCGTCGCCAACCAGTCCGGTCGAACCGTGTAGACATCGGATCCCGAGCCAGGCAACTCCAGAACCGCCGGCTCTGGACCTACGCCGTAACCTTCAGCAGCATCGCAGGCTTCATCATCATCGTCCTCAATCAATTCGAAGATTCCTTGGTGTTCTACGTAACCCCAACCGACGCTCTCACCAAATACACTGAAAACCCTACGAAGAACAAGTTCCGACTCGGCGGGTTAGTCCTCGAGGGAAGCGTGAGCCAACCTGGTTCAGAAATGGAGTTCGTAATTACGGACTTGATCACGGACATTTTGGTAAAATACCAAGGGTCCTTGCCGGATCTGTTCAGAGAAGGCCATTCGGTGGTGGTGGAGGGGTTCGTGAAGCCTATCACGGAGGAGATTAAGAGGGAGAATTTGATCGGAAGGAAGAGTGTCTCGGAGAAGGCGAGGAGTGTGGAATGTTATTTTGCGGCCACCGAGGTTTTGGCGAAGCATGATGAGAAGTATATGCCCCAAGAAGTAGCGGCGGTGATTGAGAAGAATAAGAAGAAGATTGAGGCTGCAAGCGAAGAGGGAAGGAAAGAGAGACCTGCCACTGAGGCGTAGGTAAATGGTTATCCTCAAATTTTTTTTTTGTTTTATACTAGTTATATTGTCTGATTACGGGATGGTTTTGAACATCATTGAGAGAGATGATTGATTGAGGAGTTATAGTGTTATGATTTTGTAGTTTTAGCACGAAGGTCATGAATTATAGTTTGTTTATTAATTCGGTTCTCCCCCGAGAATATGTGGGGTTGATTCTTAAATTTTGGCAGAGTAATGAATAAATACAATTCAGGATTCAGTATTTTGTGATGTTGGCTGGCGGATATTTTATATAAATTGTGGTCTGGATTTTAACATGGAATTTGCAATTAGTGAATTAGTGTGCATGTAACAAAAGCATTTCTACTTACTGACGTAGGTTATTCATTGTTTCAGATTTCTGAAAATATGTTAACTGAAGGGAAACCATGATTTTAGCTGGCATTTGTCACAAGGGCTTTTTCTTTATATGTAGCTTTAAATCTTTGTCGTGGAATATCTGTAGATTGCATTCTTATTGTTTGGTAGAAGCCTTGTGATTATATTTGTGTTTTTTTTTCCCTTTTCTTTTGTTTATAGTGATTCATGAGTGATATTATGACATGGTAATACTTAATGATTATTGTTAACTGGTGTGTTAAAACTGTAGTTTTTTGTCAAAACTGGCAAAGTAAATCTGAATAAGATGTCATGGTTGAGAACTGTGTTTATGTGATTTTTTGGATGGAAAACAATAAGGAATTGGACCTTCACAATGTGTTGGAGAAATTAACGACAATGAATGATAAAGATAGAAACGGTAGTATGAAGAGGAGGGCGATAATAAATTAAACCTTCACTCCATAGGAATATTGTAATGGTTACTAATCCTATCTAGGATTGTTTAGGTGCTTCTTGGAACTCTTTTAGGAACTTGAGTAGACCTTCAAGTTTTGATCCTAAATTAGTTGTTGGACGGATTTTGTTTGAGGATTTCTGGAATATATTCTGTGCCCAAGCAAAAATTTATCTTGGTTGATATCTTGAGTGTATTGCTAGTTGCTCCACTTAAGTTTTTGCTTTGACATTTTTACAAACCCAATGTTCTTTACTCTATTGTCTCCTAGTCCTTTTTCATTGGGAAACTTCCATGTACGGCTTGGATTCTTGTAAGTGTGCATGTTAAGGTATGAGGGACCCGGCATGGGCATAGTGTCGATGAGGATTGATGAGGGAGGATGGATAAGTCTTTTTAATATATTTTTCTTTAAATTTTTGGACCTCATTTTTATGGAGATTTGGATAACAGTACAATATTTTGCATTCAGTTGGGTTCAGATATGTTGGTTTAGGTGCATCCGTGAGTAGTTATTTACTGAGATCTGCAGTTGGTTTGTTTTGCTAGCGCCATGTTGAAGTTGAATTAGTTAGTGGCTAGTAGCATCTCTTTGTAGTTATCAGTCTTTTAATTTCGGATGTCACATGGATGGATGCTTTATTGAAGCCATCCTGATTTGTAGTCCTTGTTTAAGTGTTTCAATAGTGTGTAGGATTTGAATAGTGAACTAAAGTAGAAGGTTCATTTCATATGCAATGACTTGGTTGGAGGTGGAGATGCCCCAGCAAAGCAAGAGCAAGCAATGGAAAAGGGGTTCAAGACTGGGTGAGGCGATGGGTAATGACGTCTTACACATGTGACAATACACAAGATATAAATTGCTTGATTGACTGCCATGGAGAATGGGAGATAGTTTTTGAGTAATAACTAATCAGTGACAAAGTTCATTCTTATTATACTGTAGATGTTGGCAATCAAATTGCTTGACATATTCATTGTAATGTGATTGTGAGATATTGAAATTTGACTACTGTGAAGTTGGCGGCACTTATAATCGTGCAAAATAAAAGGAAGATTGAGAGGTTGGGCGGGCAAGGAGAAGAGAGTTACTATGGTCGTAGATACATAGGAATGATACATTCTTCAGTTTCAGAAACTCTTACATACTGGAAAACCGATTATACTGTAGTTTCGAACAAGTTTGTCATCAAAACGTGTATCAGAGGGCTTATAATTTGTTTTTAAAATTAATGTATTGTGTATTTTAACGTATCGTATATTAGTAATGGATCATATATTGTAAGATACGTATATATATGAACTCACATGTATATGTATGAGATTGTTGAAACGTGTATCATAGAGCATATTGTTTTTTTAAGTGTATTGTGTATCATCATAAACACGTATATCTGCGCGTGGGCGTATGTATAGAGTATCAAAACGATAAAGATATTTCAAGAATCAAAACAAATTTTAAAAATTCAAGCTTACAACATTGTTCATAAATATCAAAATTTAAAGATTGAAAAAATAAAAAATAAAAATCTATTCCTATAGTCCTATGAATCACTTTTGAATCTCGATCTTTAGTTTGATAAGCAATAATATCTTCATCATCGGATTCTAACAAGTCTTTACCGCCACTTATCTTTTTCAACCTTTCTGTATGTTTTCATCTTTTTTCAATATTTTTTTTCAACTGCTTGCTTTTCAATAGTTTTCTTATTTGCGAAATATTTCTAGGCCCCCATGGAGACAATATAAATTATATAAATATTACAATGAGTGAATTAGTCAGGACATTAAACAATATATATACAGAGTATCTAGAGCATTTTTCTTCTCTTTTTCTTTTTAACCTTTTCCCTTTTGAATCCATGTGATCCGTGTCATAATGTATTGTGCATCGAATAGTATTGTGCAATATGTATCATGTATCATAAAAAATGGTGTAAAGGAAAAACTTATTGTTTTACTCCTATATCGAAATGTATCTTATATATCAAATTGTGTATCATGAGATACTAGCCACCATAGTTATGAACTCTCAAATTATGTATCGTGAGACACTAGCCACCATAGTTATGAACTCTGCGTGTGTAAAAAATGTTGTAAAAGGATACACTTATACAAAACTTGTCGTTTTATTCCTATATCGAAATATATATTATATATCAAATCATGTATCGTAAGATACTAATTACCATGGTTATGAACTCTGCGTGTGTGTAAAAAATGTTGTAAAAGGATACACTTTTAGAAAAC